ACTCGTATTCCTATTGCAGAACTTCAGAAACCCGCGCCGTACTGTCCGATCACTCGCGAATCCATCACCCATAAACTGTTGACGCTGGCAGAAGTATGAAAGCATTGTGACCAGAATTCCTGCAGCACAATCAAACGCATTTCTTCTTTTGATCATGTTCAAGATGAGTGGTATATAATAATTTAATTTAAATTCTGACAGAGATTAATATACAATTAACAAAGAGAACACTTTGACCACTATGAATCAATAATATATTTTTGTGCAACTATCATTCTTAAAACGCATTTATAAAATGCAACGGTAGAGATCATCAATGATGTTACCCTGGTTTCCTTACGAATATTGGATTTTGCAACATCAGATCCATTCTACCATGTACCCCGACCTGTTAACAGGCCGATTCTCCGTATAATTCGCTCCATTATGTGATTTTAACAACAATAGATTTATTATATCAGGAGGTAGATATTACTTTTATAATGGCAACGAGATTTGCATTAGCCAAACATATATTATTTTGTCTGCTGTCTACAAGTATAAGACAAACAGCGTGGCTTGCGCTCGCTTTCATGTTTTTGTCTTCAGTTGGAGATTCGTCTCCTGCTAAGCTAGACCATCTCTCTGCCTTCGGGTAGAGAGGGACCCAGGCGAGGCTATGCTGAAGGACAAAGTCTCGTCTGGGGTGGTAGACAGCGACCCGACCCCGTTTTCTACGGGCTCTACGGGGAATTTTTGACCGGGTCTACCGACTCGGATACCCCACAATAAACTTGGCCTTGTGCTACATCCCTCCGCGTGGGACGGTAGGTGAATATCTTCAAGTTTTGCTTTTTCTGCACATGCGCCAACTTTATGGTAAGCTTTTTTTCTTTTACATTTACTTGAAAGAAAAAAAATCCTCGCTGCATTAAATGCCGTATTATGTTATGTTCTCAACCTACGTTCATGTATTCACTTACTAATTGTTAAAAAGAAACACACACACAAACAAACACACACAAGCAAGTCCTACAATAATTTGAACAAGTTCGTGAATGCTATGCCGCAAGCTTTTGGTACGTCAAAATCGACGGGGAGATGTTCCGTCGTGAGGAGATCATATTACACTCGATTGACAGTAAATCCGTTGGCTTTGTGGGTTCGAAATCTATTTGATGCCAACTTTCTTTGTAAAAAAAAACAATGTAACAAAAAAAAGTCAGAAAAACTAAATTTTAATTTTAAGGTTTATTATATATCGGATATTATTTTTCTAACAACATAATATAAGAAGACTTCAGTGAAATAAAAAATAAAATTTAATGTTCATTAATATAAAGTGTTTTAACAAAATCAAAATATTGTCACGAAATATTTTTTCCAGGAACCCGTAAATAGGATGACAGTAAAGGAATAAGTGGAGGGGGTCCTGTATTATCCGTAGGGAGGTGAATAAGCCAAATATTATGAGGACGTTAGATAGATAGATAGATAGATAGATAGATACGGGTATGCTAATATAAAGTCACGTGTGTACTCTGCATGTACGTACATACAAACACATACATATATACACAGTTCCATCCACACAATGCCTTTCAGATGCCACATATACACAAATCAAATTTTTCGGTAGCAGACAGGCTGTTGGAGTGGTTAACTCATTTCGTTTCTCTAGGATCTTTTCCAATCCACGTTGTTGTAAACCAACCATTTTTCATCGCTTATGCTAATTTTTTTAATGGCCCATTTTCTTGCGTTTACGCGCCGAATCGCATCTGTAAATGCAGTCATTTAAGTTGTGAGATACCCAAAAATCGTAACGATTCACGTATCCAAATGTCTTCAAATGACCTAAACTCTCATATGAGATACGTGATGTATCTCTGCGATGTCTCATATCGTGTGACCTGCATTATTTTTAATCAGTGTTTCAATTTTGCCATCATCAGGCCTGCCGGAACGTTGTCACTTTTCCGGATTAAAATTTACGTTTATGAGCCTTGCAAACCATTTAAGGAAAAGTATTATTATTTACGGCACCATCTCCATAAACGGCACCTTTTTTACTGTTTCTACAGAGTTTTTCTTTTAAATGACGAAGATGGCTCTTCTTTTCCTTCATTTTTACTTTTAATACAAAAACATCAAAAATTCGCAATTGATACACGAATTGTATGAATTGAAAATGTCACCTTTCAGAAGATGTATATATGTCCTAAATTTCAGTCACATATGAAATGAAATAACGTGTTCAAATGCTTCCTATTGTAAGTCACCACGAACTTTTGTCGCAACCCAGTGCATATATCTCTACACATACATACATACACGCACATAAATATATGCACAAAGATATTTTAATGAATAGCAATGTGTAACATTCATTTCCACTGTCTTGATGTTCAGCTAGCAAGCCTATTTTTGCATATCTTTCGTTTGTCTCTATCCCTTCCTCTCTATCTCTTTCAATCTCCTCCATATATATATATATATATATATATATATATATATATATATATTAACAATATCCCACGTCGATAGCACGACTCGAAGTTACATGCACTCTTCAGGTGCAAAATACTTACTTGAGTGTAACTTACCTTGAGTGTAACTGGGGATTTGTATTGGGTGAACAAAAAAATCTCCAACCCGAATCTTGGCAAACCACTTTTACAAGTTCGATTATTCAAAATGCCTTATTCATTTATATTTTAATTTAATATCATCTTTGAATTTTTATCTTTCTTAAAGAAAAACAAAAAAATATAATATGTTACTTAAAGTCTTGCGCCTTCAAGAACTTATAACAAAAAATGGGCCAATTTTGACGGAATTATTTTAGAACACATGTTGATAATTCTTGTTGTCACGATACAATGAAAAGTGGCCATTTTGAATTAAATTAGTTAAAAACAACGCTTCTAGTGACAAAATCAGAACAAACGTTTTAGCCAACCTATTCCGGAAATATTAAATACTTTCATAATAAAAATATAAATATTATAAACTTATAATAAAAGATTGAACTTGAGAGTTCGCATAATCAAGAGACTGTGTTGCAGACATCAACTAAAGAATCTCTAGTAATTGTGTGACAGTTCGTTTTAGCTGCAACTCCTAACAATGCAAGTATACTGGGTTTTGTTCCATGGACTTTATGTTTAAGTTTTCTCGACAAGGTAGATGATCAATTACTATAATTTTTAAGAAAATAATGAAATTTTGATGCGACTTTATTTCTTATTAGCAGGCTTCGCCCGCTCACTATCGTTTCACAAATTAAGATATATTCACTACTTGAAATCTTTGAAAACAAAATTTTAAATGTACACTTTATTCATAAATTGGCTTGTTATAGTTAAGGAAAGTTTTACAAATAGATGCCAAGTAAAATGCCAATTCCAAACACTTTTCTGCACTATATAAGACGATACTATTTTTGATATGTAAATCAAAACAATCCTCGAATAAAAGAACAGTAATGAAGGACAGTTAATTAATGAAATAAACTTTCGTAACACGTTTATTTATCTCTCAGTTGCGTCTCTGTCTTTGGGAAGAGTGCGCTCAGAGGCGGCTCTGTCAAAGGAAAACTGAGGAAAATTCGACTGAGAGGTGCCGGCTCTGGGGAACAGCTGCCCGAGGCCGCGCCCTCTCATTGCATTAAAGAGAGTGATCGGAGATCGCACCGAGGTCAGCGCAACCCACAGTTCCTGGGACTACGGGAATTTTTGTTCCTAGCTCGGGTGTACGCACACGGGCTCCCCACATTAAACCGACCTTGTGTCACAACGCGACTTCGGTGTCGAGTAAATACCAAATTACTATAAAGTAGAGTTGGAGCTTTTTAATCTCAAACTTCGTGCGAGAATTGAGTTCCAATTTCGCATTTATTCATATAGATTCCATAATATGAGTTTTACTTAATTAGCTATTATGTTTCTCTAACTCTTCAAATATTGAATGTATAACTAATTCTAATTTCTATTTTCCTATCTTTACACTATATTAATTTTATTTTATAAACTGTCCCCTGTTCTTCCTCCATGAAATAAAAATAATTGTTTGTACGGAAGAGAAGGATCTACGTACATCAAATCGTCTTTAAATTAAATGGCAGCAGAAGAATTATCGTTGAATTTTTAAAAGGTAAGCTTAAACATTAATTCAGTACTTAAATGCAGCGATCAAAAGTTCTTCTATAGTTTATTGATGCTAGCTTAAAAATTTAAGCCTGCTGCAATTTTGGATACAAAAGGAAAATAAGAGTTACTCTCCTTGAGCCATGAAAGCAACGATAATGGCTAGTATAATATATTAACATATGTTTTTAACCTTGCATAAATCTGCCCACACTGAATCTGAGCGCAATGAAAATCGTTCCCTGCGACTAAATTTTCTAGGGCCTTTGAATGAGCTATGGATCATTGAAATCAGACCAATGGGAGCGAAGGAGTTGCTTGGACACATTCACGCAAAAAACATACACACACATACACCATAAGATTAATTTAAACGCTATATTTGGTGTTTGGTAGACATCTATATATATAAAAACTGTGAAATTAATATCTATCGGCCTAGACTTCAAGAATAATTATAAAATTGTCGGGAACCAATTATTTTTTTAGTAAGACTACAGTTCTCTAGGCCGGTATACATTATTTTAACTATTAAAAACAAACAATGGTTCCTACTCAAACTTGTGGACACACTAACTATAGCGTTTATATTAATTTGATTGATTCGTTTTTTTAAGGCTTGTCAACATTTTGAAGGGTATTTAAAGCCATAATTTTTTTTACATTGTAAAAATTTCGGGGGAGATAATAATGATTTTTACTAGAAGTTTTACTAATTAACCCACAGCTGGGGGATAAGAGGTGGATTCATACCTTTCCCAAAGGTATTTGTGCGTAAGTGAAATTAACTAACCCAACTGGTATTGTAATTCTGATCTCCAGTTAACAACTCCGAGCCATTATCCATGACACCACCCGCACATCCAAGCTTAAAATACCTGGTATTCTTAATTTGTCACTCATCTCGGTACTGACCAGGCTCGACGTTGCTTAAGTTCGGTGATCGTACGGGAACCGGTTGTTTCAACGTAATATGGCCGCAAGCTCTAGTGTTTAATAAGAAATAAACTGTTGTGTGATCTAGTAAACATGGCAAGTGCAATAAATATAACCCCTTGTTTCAATTCAAAGAACCTTATAATGTCAAGTTTGACAGTAAACTGAAAATAAGAGATAGTGTTACCTCATTTAAATGAAAACAAAATTCCTACAAATGGACAAAGAATTCGTAGCATAATTATCTTTGAAACATATGCAAAATATATTTGTGGATACTATATATATATATATATATATATATATATATATATATATATATATATATATATATATATATGGAGGGAGAATAAAACTTAGTTTCATACCAAACAGGGCAAACAAGCTGCTTCCGGCTGTGTTAGACAAAACATTTAATTCGTTCAAGTACATTTTCTTGTACTAAATGTCTCCTCACACAAACAATAAACTTTATTTATAGATATTAAAAAAAAAAAAAAAATAAATTTAACATAAGAGAAAATCTTTTGTAGAAGCCTTTCAAATACTTGTCCGCATATATTTTTAAAGAATAGCCATAATGGACAAGGTGGTTTTCAATTTGTTACATCTGGTTTATGATCATCGGCTACTTTCGTTTGTTATTTGAAGCCATCAAATTCACGCCTTTTTTGCCTCAAAATGGCGGCAAAAATCCCTCCTGTAAATGCGTAACACAACATTCGAGAGAGACATTTTTTTATATAATATTATATGTCTTATTATTATTCGAATCATTTGTGCTTTTTTATTTTTTGTCCTGACATTTTATATGTGCATTCATGCAAAAATATCGGAACTGAACGTGTATAAGTCGTTATTTCAAGCATGAAAAAATCTCCTCAAAATCAGAGATCGAAAAAATTTAATAGTCAGTACAAAAGAAAAGAGAAGAAATCCCGAAGCGAAGAAAAAAGAGTGAAAGGTGGAAGGAAAGTAAATGAAAGAAGAGAAAATAGGAAAAAACAAATGAAAATTAAAAATAAGAAAGAGAAAGAAGGAAAGAATGAAGAGGGAAGGAGAGAGTAGGAGCTGGGGAGATCGAAGATGACAGGAAGAAGAAAGAGAAGCAAGAGAAAATGAGAAAGTGGGTAAGTATGAAAAAGGGGAATCAAATGAGGAGTGGGAGAAGGAGATAAAGGATCAAGAAGAAGAAGAAAAGAAACAAGAAAAAAGAGTTAGGTGTGAGAGCAACGAAAAAGAGAGGAAGTAAAAAAAAGGAAAGTGGAAGGAGAAGAATTGAAGAAAGATTGTCAATATCCAATTTTCTCGGTAGAAACAGATCTTAGGATCTTGAAATGTTGTTGATGAGTTGAAGCCTCCGAAACGAGATAAGAAACTTGAATTTAGATAATTAATGTCAGTTATTAGACATGCGCATTCAGTCAGGCTACACACACAAACGCCCGAGTAGCACGCATGCGCAGACACTAATATATTGACATCTATCGAGATAAGCGTAAATACACAAATACAGATGCGAACATGCAATTGTGATCAAAGTCATAACACCTCCAAAATAGAAGTTTATTTCTTCTTGATTAGGTTGACCAAAAGGCCTGTTCAGTTTTTATTGCTATTGGCATTGGTAGCGTTTATGTTTAACTGATATGCAAAATGATTGTATTGGAGCAGCTGTCCTACCAATGTAAAGATAGCCTCATCTCAACAGAAACAATCTTCTAAGCGACAAGCAGTATGGATTTCGCTCTTCTATGTACACTGCTGATGCCCTGTCATTCATAACACAATGGATCAATGAAGCACTCAATAATAAATTTGTCACGAGAGAGATCGCCTTAGATCTCAAAAGCTATTGACAATGTGTTATATAGGGGTTGCTACACACATTTTTCCAGCCTTAGTATCTCTGGAAAAGTATTCTCAATTATCAAATCAGGTCTGTGAAAGTCGTTGTTAATGGTTAGCCTTCTGAAGCCCATCAGATCAGTGTAGGCGTATTCCAATTATCTCTCTCCGGTCCTACCCTCTTTCTGCTTTATATTAACGATTTCCCTAAGAAGATTGTCATGTTATCAGCACAGTTCTTTGTACTACTTTACATGTATCAGACACCTACTAACATGCTAAAATTTTACAAGAGTCAGATCAGACCAAAAATGGAATGCTGCTGTCGTATATGGGTTGAGACTACCCAGTCCTAACTTTGCAGCTTTAACAGAGTTCAAAAGCGTTTGCTCAGCTTTGTAAAGCGATTAATTATTTTCAACCCTACAGCCTCTTTCTCCACATACGAAAAGTCGCAAGCCTCTCGCTATTCTATCGTTAATTCCATGGTAGATTTACTGACAAATTAACATTACCAAGTGCTACCACCAGTTCAGAGCTTTACAGCTAAAACCCACCATACCACGTTATAAGGTCGAATCCTCCTGATTCTCTTCATATTCCATTAGTAAGGAAGAAGTTCCGTTTGGAAAGCTTCCTAAGAACTGCTACTTTGTGGAACAGACTCTCGAAATGATGCTTCCTCAATCGCTACGGTCTTAACATCTTCAAGTCTCAGGTCGACGGTTATCTGCATTCAACAACCTTGTTCAGTAACCCTCTACCTTGAATGGCTCTTGGGCCTTGTATTGGGTGAACAAAATAAAGAAAACTTCAGTCTTTAAAAAAAGTAATTATTCCAGGAAAATAAATTATGACGTGTAAGATCTCACCATAGTCGATTTTTCAGGGTGGTTACTTTTTCCAAACCTGTGCCAGTCTTGCCTAAAAAACATACCACGTATTGACTCAAGTCAAGTGAGTTTAATTCGGTAATGGAACTGTTCGGAAAGCATCAATGGTTATGCTTGCACGAAGTCACATGTCAGCGTGACCGAGGGTGTGAGCGTATTTCCCTTCAGTTACCGATTGCACCAGTGTAAGCCTAATCTTCCGCTCAACATACGAGATGTGGTATAAACTACAGGCTGGTGTTGAAGAGTTACAAATGTGCCTGAGCAGATGTCTGCAACAGAGATTTGCAGGCGGGCAAACGTTGAAATGAGTAACTATCCAATGTATACAGAGACAGATTTAATTAATCAGCAATTGTTCTTCTAAATGAATTTTATTTAAAAAAAAAAAAAAGATTAGACATTTTATGTCTGTGGGATTTATCCATTGTCTTTTCCAAATTTCCAAGACCATCTATTGCCGAGGCAAAGAATATCCAAAATGAAGGATATGTCCATGCTTTCGACTCACTTGAGTTATATTCATGGTTGAAAAAGGAAAGGAAAATAAAAGCATTTTAAGTAATTATTTTTTTACTGTGCAGTTATACATTTGTGATTGTAATTGAATCGATAAATCCAAACGCAGGAAGCCATATCTGCAACGGGCAACGGCAACAGATGTCAGTAATATACAATAACGTGTATTCAAACTCTCTTTTTATATGCCCGGCTGAATACAGAGCCGGATACTATAGTTATCTTTATTAATGAATAGTTGCTTCAATAAATAGCTTCAATAATATTTAGTCTTTTTTCTTATTGGATTTATGGAGTATTAAGTTGTGTAATATATATATATATATATATATATATATATATATATATATATATATATATAACGACAAAACGACAGACAATGTACTACGGTTAAGCTTTTTATTTAATTTTTCTTGTGTTCTAACAAGAGATTTCTTTTCTGAACATAGGTCGTGTAAGAACTGTCCAAATGTTTTATATTTCCGCTATACCTTTCGGCTATACATTTAACCATTATCAAGGATGATTCGATTTTTCAGCTTATAATTGGTCGTAGCGGGTATCCTGGTTTATGGGTTTTTATGTTTCCATATAAATATCCCGGTTGGTAATCTCGAAATATTTTCTGAATTTTCAGAGAACCGACTTCCGCCTTGTGAGCTGTTATTAGTTTGTTGACGGACCTTTTTAATGTCTCAGTGGGATTTCTTTTCAGTTTGGTGAATTTAGTTCGATCATCGATAAAAAATTTTTTTAATTTTTGGTGGTAATCGGCTTTATCCAGTATGACGTATGTGTTAGATTTATCAGCTCGTCTCATAACGATGTCGGGGTTGGGTTTTTTTTAACTCTTTCACGGCCTTTTTTTAGTTTTGGTGTTAAGATATTATGGTTTTTACCAGGGGATCGGTTCCCTCAAACCTTCGGCTTTGAGTAGGTCTCTCATGGTCTGGGTGAACTGCTGTCTCCACGCGTAGCAAGTTATATTAAATGTATTTATTAATACAGAGCAATATAATTAATAAACAATAAAATCCCAAATTACCTCATATGGGAAATAAGCTTATTTCTGCAGACGAAGATATCGGTCGTCTGTCTTATCAACCTCGGTGTGGACTGAGTATTTGTCTATGCAAATATTGGGCAGGAAGTAGAATTTAACTGCGAAAGCTAAAAAGATCAACCTGTCGAAAAACTAATACAGAATTTATCGATTTCAATGTTTCAGTCAGACGAAAGGCATGAGTCAGGCGTCAGGTGGGAGGGTAGATGGCATCGTCTTAAAGGGAAGAAGTTTTATAAAAATTAAATCCGGATATGTAACTGAAAGCAGAGAAACTCTGCACAGAAAACATCCTTTGTAAATAATAAATACGCAAACAGCACAATGCTTTCTACACTGATTTTTACTAAACCTTTCTAATAATTTGGCACGCTCAAATCACCGTACTGATAACAAATATGGCGCCATGGTTTGTTTCAGTGATTGCGCAGATCAGTGTTGCCAACATTGTGTGAAAATTTTGTGTGAATTGATTGGACGGTTTTTGAAATATTAGAAAAAAAGATATCTCGATAATAATTTGGCACGCAGTGTAAATATATACGAGAAATTAAAAACAAAAAATAAATCACACCCAAAATATCATGGAAAATAAAGAAAAGAGCATCAACCACAATAAATCCCGAAAATGTAAATAATGTCTGGAGTGGACACAAACTACTAAATAAACGATCAGAACAACACAAACTACTAAATAAACGATCAGAACTCATCTCTAAAAGCAG